TACCCTTATTAATTTCAATTTATTTTTATTTTCAAAATTGTCTTACTGTACCAAATAATTGCTCTTCATAAAATAAAATATTATTTTTTCTGAAATATAGTTCGAAAGGAGCAGTATAATATTATCAACTGGTATAGTTGAGATGAATTCATAATCATTCCTAGAGTTTACATTGCATTGGCAAAAGTTACTCTAAATGTCATACATTCATACATGAACTCAGATCCAGTTATATAGCAAATTGTCACAGTCTTTAGGGACTCAAAAACCATAAAAAAGCAAACCACTTTTCAGAAAACTATAGAGATTTTGTCACTAAATTTGTTTAAAATCAGATTTTAATCTTGCATATTTCTAAAAAGACATGATCAAGAAATAGATCAGAGATCAGTTTCTACGAGTAAATCGCATAAAAAAAATCAATTTTAAAGATTTTTATACTTTGAAGTAGTGGTACTTAAAACTAGTAGCAGTTTTATCTGATTTTTTGTTAAAATAAATGCAGTTCAGAATTTTTTAATTATTATTTAGATAAACCAGAAATGTGTACGTGGAATCGTCTATTATATATGGCACATAGCGTTTATCAATATTGCAAGTTAATTTTCTAGAGCATAGACTCTTAAAGGGCTGTTATACTTTACTGCAAATAAATAACGATAACGTGACATTAAAACATGGTAATCGTAAAATGTTTAATAAAAGTATCGATTAATTTGCAAGGCTTTTTAAAAATAGGACTTTCTTTATTACCTGAAATTGGGATTGTATAGAATTAAGTTGTGTTTTTCAGGCAATTTATCAACAAAACCAACATTTTCTTTCTTGACAAGTAAACAAGCAAGTAGATAAACCAAAAACACAAAAATAATGGACTAGGAATCAAAATGATAATAAAATAAGACACTTTTCCGAGGTTGATGAACCCCTGACCCTTGAAGATGCCACATTTAAAAGTACTCTAATAGATTGGATGAAGTCAACTGTGCCACTCCAAATACATTTTTATCTAAAAAATAATAAAGTGTTCTCGACAAATATTTCAATGATGGTTAATTTCCACTTATCGGTTACTAAGGTGTGCTATTATTCCATGATTTAGTCTCAGTCAGTCAAACATAATATTTCTTGCCAAACCGGGAATTAACGTCAATTTTGACATGTAAGGCATCATATCCACAAAACAGCTTGGCGATGTGTGAATTGCGAAATAATTTACATAGTGTTTTTGTTTGAATGTGAAACTACCACATCATCAGCCAATAAGTGTCCACTGCTGAGCAACAGACCTCTCCTAACACGGAGAGACTTTAATCAATCACCAAGCTTGCTGAAGGCGGATTGGCGAAATTCAAATTTTGAATGCATCGTCATAAAACGGTATTTAACAACCAGTCAAATTCAATACTTGTAACTTATGTCTGTCTGTCCTTGTCGATAGGCTTGTAACGTCGTTAGATTTTTGCAATCAATTTAGTAATTAAAAAAAGTCCACATTATTTATTTTTACTTGAGGATAATTCCCAATTATTTTATTAGCTTTTCAGCTTTTAAATGTACTCGTACTACTTACGGCTTAGATAGTGCTTTTCATTTCTACAGTAAGCAATAAAAACAAATTTCGTTGATCAGGTGAAATGAAAGTTTTTTAAGCTCTTATAAGTGACAAATTTAAATGAATATCATAATCCTCATTTCTTTTCATTACCGAAGTAGATGGTTAAATGGGTGTCTCTAACACTGGAATTAATATACACTAGATATTTGTTTACTGAAATTACACTACCAGTATACTTAAGACAATTTAAAAATTAATCTAGATCACCAAAATTTTTAACATAACTTTACGCAAATGTTTAGATCCACCAACTGCAAGTCTTAATGCGAAAGTAAATACCTACGTATAAATGTATAGATAGCATGGATACATACTTGTCAAGTAAAAACTGCTGAACGGTTCGGAATGAAATTTGGCACAGAGACGCATCACACAGGCTACGTAATCCAATATAATCCAATGAAGTCATTGATCAAGCACGCCCATGGTGAAAACCTGCAACGGGATTCAATTCTTAGGTGAAACAATGTGTTATTTGGCTTCTAAGAATTATCAGTTGCGCGGTGGCGAGAGTTAGCTCTTTACACACTCATGGAGTATAGCCTAACGGAAGTAACTGGCAAAAACTGAGTGTTACGTTTTATATGCGCACAAGTAACTGTCTAACGCTTTTAAGAATACCTAACGACAACAAAAAAGTTAAATTCTCTTTTAAATAGTATTTATTGAACGCTTAGTTGACAAAACAATGCTAATATTATTTTACATTATTCAATGCGCGACCCATGCTAAATTTCAATTCATAATCCTCACATTTGTCATCACCTCTTTCACTCACAAAATGAATTGCGATATAGTGTGTATAAAACATTTAAAAAAATAATCCTATTGGGACTGTAACTACAGTCCGTCTATTTAAATACATACCCCAATTTTTGGTACGTTCAAGTAACCCCCTAAAAGAAAATAGAATAAGTAGCCTTTTGATTGACTGCTAGGGTAATAATAAAGGGGTTGCGGGTCAGGCGTAATAAGGAACTGCGGCCTCGGCCTGGACCAGTCAGAAGGAATGGGGCATTTTTCAGGTTAGTTACGAGTCTGATACTCCTTCTCGCCATACACTGGGTAAGAGAAGTCGAATGATGATTGTCCCTCTTCAAAAAAGGGTCATATAGAAATTCGAATTTCGGAATCGAAAACTGGATACCTGTTCAAATTCAAAAATTTATTGCATTCAAATGCTTACTTTTCTGAAGTTTCGATCATCGAAATGAGAATATCAAAAATTCAACGGTCAAAGTGACTGTTAAAGTTCAATATTGACGTAAATTACAAAATATTATTACAATTATTGTATGGTAATTCAGGGTTGGTACCTACATTTATTTATCTTCCAAACACAGCTGATAGGCACATCAAAGAGTTAGTCTAGAGTTGCAAAGTTTCAGATTTGGCAACAAGGTGTTAGGTACAGATATTTACCATTATTTCATATAGTGCATGTTTATAAAAACACGTCCTAAATACCTATACATAAAAAGCGTTTCTCATCTTTGACCACCATAAGTGTCGCTCTCATAAACTCATAACTGTTTCTCCTCAACATCTCGTATTTGTTTGAAGCAGATATCGACAAATAACTTCACATAGATCGTTCATGCAAACTACACAGAATAAGGCATAATCGCCGAAATCCGCAATAGAGGTAAGGTATACGTTTGTACGTGGGTAAGTTCTAAGACGGATTTTTTTTTTGGACACCAAACATGGTCTATTTCTTTTTATACATCTAACTTGAAACTTGTAACAATAAACATAAAATAACATACTACACATTCTTAAACACAATTTTATTATTCGATTTTTCAATTATTACTCGCCTTAAATGTTTGGCGATTCTCGAAAGCACCTCACTAGCTCGAACATTTTTGGAGTAGCAACCCTGCCACCCTAAAATGTAATCACTCCCCTGCCGTATTGTGACGTCTCTTTCACACACAAGCAGAGTTATATACAGTATTTTAGTTTCTAGTTCATTGCTGCTGTAGATCTAAACCAAGTCGCGCGCCGTCGTCGCGTTGTTAATATGAGCTGCAATGAACGTCGTTTGATCCATTTTATCGCAAACTTGACACTGTACACATTACAGGGGTAACTAGGGGCGCTTGGGAACGCCCCAAAATTTTTAGCAGTGGTTGTAGATACCGTCTCTTTCTTTCGCTGTTTCGTGATACACTTAATAAAAATGTTCATTGGTGGCATATCGGTTCAGACGATTTTGCGACATTGAATACTACACATATTTGTAAAGACGTTTAAATAAGTTAAATCATATTTTCGATTATACGAATTTTGTGGATATCATAGAAGTTAACATGAAAGTGTCACGTTGACGCATATTTGAGTGCGAGTGTAAAGCGATGTAGCATGTAGCGCGCCGTTTGCTTATCGATTTTCTCTATGCTGCATTAAATTACTATTTAAATTGTGAATGCGGACTGCATTGAATAATATTTAATATGTGTTGTGCCTATATAAGTAATAAAAAATCTCGAAATTGGTGCAGTGATTAATATTGTTGTGGTGAAAGCTGGCGTAACTTAACTTATAAGTTATCATAACAACACCGACTGAACGCGGTTGTCTTGCATGCGTTAATACATCGCACTGACACCTCGTGTCGGCGTGTTACGAGATGATACTTTAAGTATAAATTGCCTTATGCCGATGATTGTGTCTCCATTGTTTTGGGAATGGTTCAACATTTGGCTTATTCAATTTCTAAAAGATTTATATCATGAAATTAAAATGGTTGCACTAAGAGGAACAAATAGTTCTCTAAATACATTGTCACATGCGTGTGTCAACCATGGAAATCAGTCACAACAGAGTGCGATTGATGTGGCGCAAAGTTTACAAACATCATTGAATATGCCACAATCGGCAGTGGCACAGCACATCAATGCGAATCAAATCAATTTGCAACCCTTGAATAATGTTTCACTGCAGTTTGTACCGCAGCATACGAACTCTAACTCTATCAAACATGAACAGTCGTCCTCTCGGTATTCCAACTCTAATTGCATGCTGCCTTCGCATCATTACCGACTATTAACTCAAACTAGTAAGTGAATACTAACAACGCTTGTACCTATCATAAAAATACTCTGTATTTTAACTTGTGTGTGTTTCTCGTTTTTTTACATTTCTAGACGGAATTTTATTGTTTAGTTATATCTCCAGTTCGATTGATTTTATGAGCTATTGTTTCGTTGGCGATCATAACTTTTTTTTACTTCACTAAACTTTTCAAATAACTTTCAGGTTTTCGTATAATAATATAAGTAGATGGTATTATAACAGCTCCTTTTAGTTCATTACATGTATACAAATTAATAGTATAAGTCTGAAGCAATTACAATAATTCCTTAGCGCTGTACAGTTATCCACGGGCGTCAACACCACACAGTGAGTTACACAGAAGAAAGAAGAATAACAAAAACCCTTTACTCATCTAGAGTAAAATTTAAATTATTGGCACTTTAAATTTTAACAAAAATGATATTTGCAGGACCGGTGGAATGTTACCACCCATCAGGCGCCGCCGGAGCCGGTTACATGCCGAGCTCATCCGGTGGCGGACAGCCCTCGGCGCAGGCTTCGCTGAGAGTCCAGCCGACACCGCAGCCATCGGCACCGCCGGCACCACAGCAGGACATGTCCAAAACAACCATGGTAATTTCCTAAACTTTTTACCAACTGCTAGATAGACCATAAATTGTACATAATCAACATGCGTATCAAACCGAGCATGATTGTTGTGAAATATGCAGTCTTAGTCATACAACAGACAATTCCTGACAGTGAAATGCATTGACTAACTAGACTCTATGTACCTGCTTATTTCCAGTCTGTGCGCCTCTTGATCGCGTTGCTTTGGGTGAACAATCTAACTACCCCTGACTTTACATTGTGTGTGCATATACTCGGTTCCAAAGTATCGCATGCGTTTTATATTTATGCATTTTCTAATGTTTCTTTTCATTTTTTTCAGGCTGGCCATAGTTACGTTTCGCAGAACCAAACACCGCCAACTCGACCGCAGTTTGCAAACTACCCATACAGAACAGCGCAGCATGGCACGAGGCCCAACACCCATCCAAGGTACTTAAGCTACATTTTATTATTGTATTTGACACCCGTACAGACAACGTTGTTAAGACCAGTTATTTTAAGGGAATCATTGTAAACAGTAAACTTTAACTAGTTCCTAAATTCACCGAAATTATGCAATAGAAACACACACAAGACACTGTATACATTAAAATATTATCAAAAATATAACTAATACATCTGAGCCGATTTCTAAGTGTAAATGATAAATACTTTAGTATTCTATTATATATTATATATATTTCTGACTGATATCACTATGGCAATAGCAGTCAGTACTATGTAAGTAAGTATTTATGGATTCATTGTTTTTTTTTTGTGAGGGGAAAATCATCAAATGACTTCTCCCGCCAAGGGCCGGGCGAGAGAGAGTGTCAGACACTTACTGGCTAAAAACCCCCCTGTTCCTTCTCCTGCTCTGGGCCGAGGTCGCGGTGCCTCATTGCGCTTACCCCGCAACCCCGGCTGATGAATTCATTGGTGATATGTACTTACTTTTTCACCTAAAAAACTTATGAACGAATCTGAATGAAATTTGGCGAAGATTATGTTCTACTATATAACTACGGACAAGCCGTTGATAAAAGCTAGTACAAAATAAACAATATTAATGATAATGTCGTTTCATAAGACATGACTTTGTATTAGAACTTTTATTAGCTATGGTGTTGAAGTTGTTAAAAAATATCATCGTAAAAATTTATTATCAAAATCGAAACAATGATGCTTTACCCATCTTAATGAAAATGTAAGTTTTTCACAAACTTTTCTTTTTCGAAAATCTCATTTTAACTCAGAGGTTTAGGATTGAGATTGGTTAAGAAGACACCATAATATTAATTAATTTCGTTTTTAAGCTAGGTAGGTACTACACACATTACTTCCAAATAGGTATTAGGTAGGTATAGAACACAATTAAATAAAGTTTTAACCTTAAGTGCATATCCTAATAACGTTTTTAAGTTTATTTTGACGTTAACGTTATAATCTTTTGAATCCGCATAATGTTAATATCCACAAGAATGTAATTTCCCGACAGATACCATCAATACTCACAGATACTTCACATCCCAACCTAATTAATGAATCTAAATATTTTTTCAGAAGTAAGAAGTGGAAAGAGGCTTTTATTATTTGTTGTATTGTTTACCTATTTGCTTCGTATAATTCGGCGTGCCAAACCCAACACTTATTGTAACTGTTTGAATTTCAATATAATAAAAGATACGTAGATGTATCATTCATTTCTATAATATTGGTTTAGTTAGTTGGATATGGATAATGTGCGTAACTGCTGGTTTGTATTAAAAATGCTTTTCTTGTGTTGGATAATCAAATTGTCCGGGATGGCTGTAGATCATAAAACATAACGATCAAATAGGAACCTGTTGCTGTTTTGGACGCGTGTTTCATATTACAATCTATACTTAATCTATACTTATATACTTATAATACTTATAATATTATAAAGAGGTAAAATTTGTAAGTTTGTATGTAGGGGGTAATCTTTGGAACCGCTGGTCGGGTTGCCAAAATTCTTTCACTGATAGATAGCTACAATTTTCCTGAGTGCTATAGGCTATAAAACGTCACACTACGATTAAATGGAGCCGAGCAGCGGCTGAAGCCGCGCAGGAGTTGCTAGTCTGTAATAAATTATCTAGATTAAGGTCCTACGTAGGATCTAGGTCAACTCGATTTGTAACTCTGTTTAAGATTTAATCATGGTCACTTTTTAATTTAATTGATTACTTAACTGGGTATTAGATAATTCTACATTAACATAGGAGATCTTCAAGGCATTAAAGCAACTAATAACGATCAAGCACAACACCGCACGTTTTTGGCAATTTTATAATAAAGACAATGTAATTTGTTTGAACAGACAGCAGCAGCCCTACATTCCCAACGCTGCTGCCACGGCATCACCGCCCGTTATGTATCCGACGTTAGTTTTCCAACCAACGCCAATGGGGATGCAAACTTTCCAGCAGCCTAGATCGAGTACGCCGGGGTAAGTGTTTAAAAGTGGTATTTCATGTGATCATAAGTCCTTAGGTGCAAGTTGCTTCCAACCTGCCGATCGGGAAAGTCAAAGAATATCGGTGTTCAGCAGTTAACGTTTTTTGAAATAATTATGATGGACATGTAAGAAGTTGTATTAAATAAATACTATTTTTTCCAATTAGGGTTGATTTTTTGATGTTTAGATAAAAGTTATCTGGGGAATAGTTATGAAATTATTCCTGTTGCTGTTGCTGTCGCGTCAGAATGTTTGTATAAGACAATAACAGCAATAATTTTATTCCTCTGATAACATTTATCTGACTATTGAAAAATCAGCCTTTATACCAATGTTGCTAACAATCGTAATATCCTTAATGAGATTGAGGTCAGCAAACTGCACCTATTGTAAACAGAAACAAAACCATATAGCAATTTGTAAGCTTAAAAAATAAGTAACTATTTTTAACCTTGACAGACAAATTACTCCCCGTAGTTCTATATCAGCCTGTGTCATTACTACTGCTGAGACAAAAGCCTTTTCTCATGCGGATAATTGAGTGATCTTGTTTATAGCCACAAGAGATCCTGTGCTTTTCAACATAAAAGCATAAAAAATAATATAATACATAACTTGTTGTTTTTTTGTTTACAGGTACTACCCGTATATGGGATATATTAACTACAATACACCACCGAGTCACACTCCTCCATGTATGTAGACCAGTTTAAATATTTTTATTTTACGTAATATCTTGTACACAACTTGTGTTGTTACTGAGTTTTTGAAATTTTATTAGAACGAGTACTATCATTTTGTTGCCCACGTTTTATTTGCATATACTTATAGTAATTGCTTGATTTGATGAACTAAGCAAAAATATAGCTTTTGATTAGGCTCTCCTCAAATAACCAGGAAAGCGAATTAAAGTTATCACTCCTATTGACATGTTTACATATAACTGTAAACAGTGGTTTCTCATAGATCAAACATTAAACTTCGTTTACTTGTTTATTTTAGCCACTAAACGAATAAAGTTAATAATCTTGCCTTGATGATCCCTGGTAAAACTAGATGATTTAAAAATTAGTTTGTGGCAATCCTTACTTTTTAAACAAACACGTAGTTGTTAGGAAGATGTTTATTTCACAGTATTTTAAAGAAGAGATTAATTGATTTCGTTTTTATACCCACAGATTTTTACACGTCGAATAATCCGCAGCTGCCAACGCCAAATTTACAAGCCAGCGCTCCAGGTGGTAGAAGTAATCCTACTACTTTAGTGGGACCACAGGGTACACCTGCAACCCCCACTGCGCCCACTGCCACGCTTCCTCACCCACAAGCTTCTACACTCATGCACCAAACTATGCCTGGTAATCATTGTCTTCTATTATTAATAACAGTATTTTGACGACTTTGGGCTTCAGGGCAAAATGATAAAGGTTAATTAATGACTATAACACTCGCTTTAATTATAGTGTGATACATTCATCATCTAGCTTTATCAAGTGTTTCGTCTTATGTGAGTGTATCGTCCTACGAACTCTTAATTTTTCACTGCTCTAGTCTAGACAATTACACATCTCAAGATTTTACTATGTATGTCGTCTTTATGCTCATTAATCAGTACAAATACCGACTGCATAGCGCCACAAAATTAAGTATTGTCTCAAATTCTTATGCTGAAAGTATCGTTCCTTATTAAATATCTATGTCACTTACAGAACAGTTTATAAGTACAGGAAAAAAATTACGGCCTTACTAATTATTCTGCATTTTTTTCTTTCTTTTAATCTTCTTTAGACTTCAGTGAATATTTGAAGACTACTATGATGGTTTTCCGTTAATCGAAATTAAAATCGTTCCATGCGTTAGTTGTGCTATATTTACTTGAGAGTAAATTTAAATAAAATAGTAGTATTTTTTTATAACATAGTTCAAGCAAGTTCTATCTATATTGTACTATGAGTTAAGTAGATAAAACCTATGCATGAAAATAACAGCGCTTATTGAAGCCGCTTCATGAAAACATAAAAACTGAAGAGTTTATTGAAAGCACCATATTCTATAAATACGTTAACGTTTCTAGTTTCGTTGAATGTACTACTAACTGCTTTTTCAAACAGTAATTTGTAATGCATCCTCTCAGGAGGCATCTGTGCCCTATTTTATCTTCATTCGTGTAGGAACTAGGTTTTAAATTATTGTATGAATTGTTCGTACTAACTTAGTTAATAATTATATACCATTTAACATTTTTGTAAAACATTAATTATTTTAAAGAAATATACGTTCAGTTTGGTAATTAAAAATATTAGACGCTTATGTCTGGTTTTGTCGTGTACTGAAAAAATACCTATACAGACTATTAGAGTCTCACGACTATTAAAATCAATTTATTGTTAAAAGTATTGGATTTTCTAAGAAGATACGTGTCTTATGTTTTGAATTATTGTTAAATACAGACATTAATAATAAAAAAAAATGTTATTATCCCTGTTGCCCCATAAATTATATGTATATGTATCCCAAATATATATTTTTCATCTATCTTTTTTATAATAATATATTGTAATTTAAATGTTATACGTTAGATTAATTACATAATTAATATGAGTCGTCCAATATTGGTGTCTCCAAAAAGCCACAAACAACAAATCTTTTGCTTTTACCAATCTTTTCAATTCCTTTCCTAATATTAATTGTAGTATTTAGTCCCAAATATATTTTATACTGGCCTAGTACTTAAACTGTTACTTTCTCTTAGGTATACGATCATCCGCTCCAAAAAGGATTCATAGGCTGCAAATCATAGATCCCAAAACAAGTAAGTAGAATTGACAGATTTACAAGTTTTAGTAATTGATCAAACAGTATATCTATCTACTTACTGTTATTGTTCTTTCAGACCAAGATATATTCTCAGATTTAAATACCAACGATAGTAGTTTTTTAAGCAACGAAGCTAACGATCGCCACACCCCACAACCCGTAAGTAAATAATAAATAAATATTTTTCGAATTTTATAAACAATATTTTTTTACGCAAAGTGTACCAATAGCGGCGCGACATAAATGTCTAGATCTGTTTCCCAAATGAGATAGCAAAACGCTATAACGTAGTAAGCTTACTCACAGATCACATAGAACCCAGTTATTTTTGAACTTATAACCAATTAAATAATTAAACCTATACGCGACAGGATGGTATTTGTCATCACATGTTTCTCTTGTTGAAAGACGGCTACTATCGTATAATGCGACGACTTACCTTTTTATTATAATGCAATGAGTATGAATGATAGTAAACGACTTTTTTTGCAGGAGCCAACACATAGTATCCCCGAAGAATTTAATAGAATGGTCAAAGAAGTGGCCAATCAACCTTCTTTTGATTTCTCTATTAAATCGAATTATATAACAAATAATGTGGATGTACCTGCTGCATCTACGCCAAGTTCTGTCCAAAGCCAGCCAATTGCAGTAAACTCTATAAATAATAACACTGTAAAGTCTGAGTTGGTTAACGAAAGTAAACATTTAGGACCTGATGTTGCTGGAGAATCCAATGATACTCCAATAGTATCTGCAATATCAGATAGTCCTGTTATAGTGCCTAAAATGCCTATAAATATTAAGCAACTACAAAAGAATAGTGAACCCTTAGTTCAACCTGTAGTTCTAGATACGAATAAGAATTTACCACCAAGTAAGCAATTTAAATCAAGCAAAAATGTGCCTCAACTTGAAGATTTAGAACAACCACAAGAAAATATTATACAAGTACCAGTAGCAACAGTAGCACCAATTTCGAGCTCGACAGCGACTCCGGCTACCGTCACGCCCGTGCCTGCTCCAATGCAAAACGTGACTATTAGTGAGCCTGTACCCGTTCCTATTTCCACACCCACGCCCGCTCCTCAGCCTCAAAGGATAAGAGAACCCAGGGAACGGGTCAAATCAGAAGACAAAGAAAAAGTTAAAGAGCGGGAGTCACAAGAAAAAGAGGCGGCATCTGTGTCTAACAAGCTTAATGGTCCGACACCACCAGGTAAGTGAAATTGTTTTCTTTCATGGGTGGCGTATAGACGGAAATTTAATTTTAGTGATTTGGTAAATCAATTCCTAGTATTTCCAACACTTATAAACTTCTTCAAGGAACACAACATGGTTAGAGCATAAAATTTGAATTGTGTTGACGACAAAAAAAAAACGTTATCATACCTTCAAATTTGAAGTACTTATTCAAATATTATATGTATTATGTATGTATCAGTTACCTATGCAATATTTTATGTAATAATATTATAATAATGCAGTTTATTTTATAACCAGCCCGGAGCCCGCCTCTGCTTTGCTTAAAGGTCCCACTACCTTTGAGGTTTTTTATATGCTGATAATTTCAAAGTGCAGGTTCAAAAACTTGAAAAGTACTAATGTAACTTTTTCCGAGTTGCATCTGCATTCTAGTTTAAAATCGCTAATCCACATTGAGCCAGAGTGGACATTGATAATTAGCCAATGATATAGATAGTATAACCGTGCCTAGGCACGGTTATACTATCAGTTGCCAGGTCGCTAGGCATTATAGCCGGACAGACCAGCCCGTTTAGCCGGACATTTGGTTAAAAAGGCCGGACACCCTACATTCTTAAGGATTTTGTATCTCAGTATTAATAGGTACGACAAGATTTAATGTAAATCAAGCATTTTTTATTATTATCAAAAATCTTGTTGAATTCTTATGAAATAATTAATAGATAAGTCTAAGTCTTTGCTTCACTCCAGCCATGTTCGGTGTTTCGTTTCACTCGTTCACGATTGTGGAAAGTTTAGGTAAAAAGCCTAACAAAAGCCGGACAGGCCGGACACCGATTATTTTGGCCGGACTAGCAATCTAAAAGCCTACCTATGTCCGGCTTTATCCGGACGCCTGGCAACGCTAACCGTGCCTAAACCTTCTCCATATGAAGCCTTGCTCAGCAGAGGCCACTTGCCAGTGATGATGATGGTGAGATTATGAAAAAAGTATATAAGTTAAATTGTTGATTATGACTTAATTTCATTTTATTCAAACTCTCTCCATTATATAGTTTTAATTTTAAATAAGGAAATAACAATGCAGTAACTTGCGAGTTTCAGGTAAAGTCGACAAAGTTATTTGGATTGGAGTTAAAAAAATAAAAATCAATCCCATACCGAGACAGTATTGTTTAGCTTCTGAGCAAATGTAGGGCTAAAAAGGCTGCATTATAACCCATAAAACCTATGTAAAGTTATTCATTATAATATAAATATGTGTATATTTTACAAATTGATATCATTAAAAATATTTAAAAAAAGGTTTGCCTCATAATATTATTGGGCACCCTGTTGCAACAGTGGGACAAGTATAATATATGTATATATTTGACTCACTCAATTCAATCAACTAAAATCAATAGTATGTAGACTATCAAAATCATAATCTATATTGCATTGTTTGAGGTTGTGTTATTGCCTACTAAAATACAACAGTTTATTAACTTCCAAACAGTTATTCTTCTTATTATTACGATTGAAATATTTTCTGCCCTCAACCAGGACGTAAATTTTTCATTCTAATATTGCATTTAGTTTGTATTTGTCCAATGAGTCGTACACTAATCAAAAGGGTGAACAATGTCCAATTTGCTAGCCGGGGCAAGTATAAAAGTTTGTTGATTGATGATGAAGGTTAGTTTATACTTAAGTGGAGTAAAATATCTTAGGACCTATCCGAAAAGCAAAAAGTGGTCGTAGAAAGCAGAAAACAAGTTTTAAACTTGTTTCCTGCTATAAGCAACAAAAATTTAGCAACAAAAATAAATATTGGGTAGTAATTTATTTTAGACCTAGGAAAGGTCTAAAATAAATTATTTCCACATTTCAAAACAGTAAAATATTAAAAAAGAACTATACTTTTATTCATCGATCTGTCGGTACACAAAATTTTCGATATTTTTTAGCAAATTCTTATGAAATAAGTAAGCTATTTGACGCAAAAATACAATGACGTTGTATTTTGGAGTTTCATACAAATTTCATGGAAAAGTATCATATTCTTAGTTTGAAATTCGGTAAAAGTATTCAGTTAATAGAAACTACCGTATTCGGATTGACGTTCGACAGCTATCATAATGTCAATGAAAATCTTAACATTGGTATCTCTGTTCTCTTTGGTTTAACGCGCTGTCTGCAGACGGACTGAAGTATCTTTTTTTATCATGTGAATTTTCTTAATTGTAGCAATCGTGTGTTGTGATAATATTTCTTTTTTAATACTACGATACTTGTATCATTATAAGTATGTAATTTTAGCTTAAAAAAAACTTTTTTTTAATTACTTAGTCGATTTTGTAATTAGTTACTAATTACTCAAAAACTCATTTCTTTTTGATGTTTGACACACTATTTAAATTTACATATTTTTTGCTTCAACTTCAACAGCTCACAGGGTTAAAATAATAGGTAAAGACCATTGACATAGGAAATATATGGACTTGAAATACCTACGAAGAAAAGGTGCATACCTACAATCCAAAATGTCGCATAAGATGGCTGCCGTTGCTAGGGTTGTGCCGACTAAGTATTTAACGAGTATCGATACAATTTGAGTATAAGTTCTACGTAGGTATAGTTTTAGGGATTAGCCAGCTGATTAACGGTATATTTTATGGGAAATCATCTAATGTCATCTCCGGCCCTTTTCGTGACAGACCGTTACTGACTAAAATCAACTCCTGTTCCTACTTTACCGTCGGCCTAGCTAGAGCCCGGAACCCGGGGTTACCTTGGTCTCTTGATTGGCTAATGATTTTCTCAAGTCGAATTTGTATTCATATAATTCTACGTAAAGCGTCTTTAAAAAAAAAGGACTGTGTTTATGAACAGCGTTTAATGGAATGGTGAAATAGAAAAAAGATAGTGTTTGTTAAATGTTTATCTTTATATATGTGAAAAACCTGTAGGAATTTGTGAAGTGCTCGCGCACAATTTCGGTGTGTCTGATTAAGCGATGATATCTTCGAAACTACGTTAGCACAAAAAGATAAGTAGTGAAGTCAATCTTACTGTATGTATCTCACTTATTAAGCTTGGTGGTCCCACTGGGATCGCCGCCAACGCCGCTCTGTCAATCGCGCCCGGATAATTATAAAACATGATAATTTGAACTTCTACTTATGTAACTAAAACCAATACCAAAATATTGACGTCTTACTTTAGCCTTACACAAAACTGAGGAAACATCCATTGCTAAAATAGATTATTTAGGATAATGTATCTTGAATTTTAAATGGGAGATTATATCGATACTTTTGTGGAATGGTACGTAACTATGCCATTTTGACATATTATTGTAAACAACATTTTTTTACTAAAACTGTCTCACAGACAGAAATAGAAGTAGATATATATACTTTGGCAATAGATTCAAGTATCCGTAACATTTTTTTCTATCTATGTGGATTATTCTAAGTACTATTTGATGAAAACTGTTTACTAACCTATACAAAGACAATTGAGGTTGATTTTCGTTCTTTTTTGCACCACACTGCACAATACAACACACAGGCATATTGTATTTTTGTTTCACTATATATGTTAGAAGTTTAAAAAAATGTTTCTTTGTAATTTACTGGAAAACCGCAATAATTTAAAACATAAACAACCGTTTGACAGCACAACTACCATGAAACTCAGGTACTCTGAGCGCTTAAGATGGCGGACATGGCACTTACCTACAACTTTGCTAATGTCAAAATGATTTGTTGCCATAATAAGCAACAACTTAAATATTGGATTATGTTTGGAAGAGCTTCGTAGGTAGTGGTGAAGGACATAGGTGTTTTTGTCAGTGCCACGAGGTTTTTTTTTTCAACTTAAATATTATTTTATTGAATTATAAGTTGAAACCACCTCTGTGTTGTGATTGTCCAATATTTGTTTTAAAAAACTATTGGTAAGGTGAGTAAAATTTCCCCTAATACTAAGAGTATTTAATTTTATTTGTTTTTAATATGGAGGCTAAAAAACCTCCCGACCCTCCTGATAAACTATTCGAGTACACCCCTGTAATGACTGTTACCCTCCCCAACCCCGGAAATGATGCCATGGATGCAGAAAATATGTCAAATAGAAAAAGACCTGCACAATCTCCCCCAGTTACTGTAATTAACCCACCCAAAGTGGCAAAAGTTAACGGAAGGCAGTGCTACACACCCAATGATGCTCCACCGTATATTGTTCATGTTGCTTTGAGAGATTCGCAAACCTCAGGCACAACCCTACACCCTGTGAAATTTGGCATGTTCTTAATGAAGAACAACATAAACAATGTACGGATGGATGGTGTCAAAAGATTAGGACGAAATAAAATTTCAGTGGAATTTAAGTCACACCAAGACGCTAACAGCTTCTTAATTAATGGAGTCGTAGCCCAACATAATTATATAACTTCCATTCCACTGTTTAACATTACACGTATGGGTATTGTTAGAGATGTCCCCGTAGACTGGACTGAGGAGGAAATTGTTGAAAATATCAGGGTCCCCTCTGGATGTGGCAATGTCATCAAGGCAAGGAGAATGAACCGAAAAGTTGTTTCCTCTGATGGTTCAGAGTGGAAACCTACACAAACGGTTGTCCTCACATTTGACGGTCAAATTTTGCCAAAACGAGTTTACTGTTTTTACACTGCTCTTACAGTAGAAAGGTACACATATCCCACGGTACAATGTTTCAACTGCTGCCGCTTTGGACACACACGTACCTTATGCCGCTCAAAGCCTCGTTGCTTCAGATGTGGTCAGGACCATCCTGGTGATGGTTGTCTGGTTTCAGATGACATTGCAACCTGTGTCAATTGTCATGGCAATCACTTTGCCAATAGCAAAGGTTGCCCTGAGCTAGGCCGTCAGAGGAGTATAAAGGCCCTCATGGCGGAAAAATCCATATCATATGCAGAAGCGAGTCAGGTCTTTCCCACCATCAAGAGGTCATATGCAGAGGTTTCAAAATCTTTACAACAAC